TGAATGCTGGGGTTACAGATGTGCCATCGTGTTGTTTATTCAGTGTCGGAGATCAAACCCTGGTCTTTGCGTGCTGGGCAAGCACTCTACCCTCCAAACCATATGCCCAGCCTTCCTAAAGTGTCGGAGTCCAGCAGAGGGTACAGCTCAGCTTAGAACATGTGCTTCAGTGTGCAGGAAATGCTCCACATGCAAATCCCCCCAAGGGCCTGACACTCTGCCTGCTCAGTGGGCATGACAGTCTGGAGACAGGATGCTGCAGGCTGAGCTGAGTCCCAAGGCTTGAACATGTGAGGTGTGCCTTGGGGCCAGAATGCAGTGCTGAGCAGGTGGAGTGAGTTGCAGAGGGAGGGGCTCTGCACCCCAAAAACCTCGGTCCTTCTTTCTGCAGGTGGAGATGGGGCCCTTCAAGCATACCGTAGATGACGGGCTAGATGTGAGGAAGGCCGCCTTCGAGTGCATGTACTCCCTGCTGGAGAACTGCCTGGGCCAGCTGGACATCTGCGAGTTTCTGAACCACGTGGAGGATGGGCTGAAGGACCACTATGACATCCGGGTAGGCGGCTCAGAGCAAGGGGAGCCAGGCACCACGAGGCCCTGGCCTGTTCTTCCCACCATCTTGTACCCATGAAGGCAGCTGTGCTGCTTCCTATCAAGAACAAGGAACTGGCTGGGCAGTGGTGGTGCACACCTCTGATCCCAGCACTCAGGAGGCAGAGGCAGAGGCAGGTGGATCTAACTAACTAACGAAATAAAAGCCAAACAAACTACCAAACAAAAAAACTCAAGGAACTAGGTCTCAGATGTTTCCCAGGGCATGCACTCTGGGCACACTAGATCCAAGTCTTCTGTAGTGTTCAAATGGCTTAAGCCATTTTTGCTTTGTATTAATTTGTTTTAAATGTTACCGACATTTAAAAAGCAAGAGATTCTACATGAAAAACAGTTGTTTCTTTTGAAAACAACCCATAATACTAGGTAAGTTCCCACATTGCCATTGTATTAGTCTGTTTTCTGGTTATTGTTGTTGTTATTATTATTAGTTTTTTGGTTTTTTTGTTTTGTTTTGTTTTGTTTTAGACAAGGTTTCTCTTATAAAGCGCTGGCTGTCCTGGAACTCATTATGTAGACAAGGCTGGCCTTGAACTCACAGAGATCCACCTGCCTCTGCCTCCCGAGTTCTGGGATTAAAGGCATGTGCATCCCCACACCTGAACTGTGTTTTGTTGCTATTAAAAAAATAACCTGTGGCTGGATATTCTTAAGGAGAGGCCTATTTAGACCTTTTATAAAGGCTCAGAACCTGGCGTTGGCATCTGCGTGGCTCAGGTGGCATTGCAATGGCAGGCACCTGCAGACGTTCACATAGTAGAGCCAGGCATGAGGCATGCTCATTTCATCATTTACTTTTATGGGAACTCAGGTCCTCTGAGACCTAAATTAACCCCTTCCAGCTGTATCATCTCCAGTGACCTAGCCACCTCCTGCTGAAGGTTCCATCACCTGTCAGCATCGCTATCCTGGGATCAAGCTTCTAGCCCACGGGCTTTTGTGATACACCCGAAAGCCTGTCTAAACTGCAGCATGTCCAAGCCCGTGTCAGTGGGAGCTGAGGAGCTGTTATGTTCCATGGCAGAGGGAACTGCCCCTCCTATGCCTTTTGCTATACGGCCATCCCCACACAGCTAAGAGTAGCTGGCAAGATGCAGCATCATGACCTTCATCCCCCATAATAGAAAACTAAGACCCAGAGAGGTGGGAGCCTTGGGCAGGGCTCTGGCAGGACTTGGTTGTGGGTTTCTGGGGTGCAAACCTCCACTTTCCATTGGATCTGCTGCTCTGTGTGGGTGCTGTTTCACCAAGAATTCTCTTTGCTTCCTGGGCCAGATGCTGACCTTTATCACGCTAGCCCGGCTGGCCACCCTTTGTCCTGAGCCTGTCCTGCAGCGGGTTGACCGCCTCATGGAGCCACTCAGAGCCACCTGTACTGCCAAGGTAAGCCCTGCCCTGCCACGCCTGGGCCCTGGAGCCCCTGTCAGGTTTGTTTAGTCAGCACTCACTGTACCATGTGCACTACAGTGGTAAGCTGGCTGTTGCCCTAGAAGGTTCTCTTGTTGCCCAGGTCTCCATAGTTTCCCAGGCTGTGATTCCTTCATTAAATACTTCCTGGGTGTTGGGCTGGGAGAGGGATCCAGGGTACAGTGCTATACATGCTGGCTTCCCCAGTCTCTGCAGATCTGAGCTGGGGAGCTAGGCCTGGCTCCTGGGGTTGACTGACTGACTGACTGGCTGCTGCTGGCCAGAGCCACTGCTTATACGGAATGTCTCAAGTCTTGAGGGGAACGTGGGGTAAAGGCATCATGTAATGTTGGGAAAATCCCGGCAAACTCCTGGTCACACTGAAGACCTGTGAAAGAACATGCGCATGCGTGCCTGCAGGCATGCATGTGTGTTGCAAATGTGTTGTTTCTGCGGAGGCCAGAGGTGGACTTCAGTTGTCTTCTTTGTAGACCAGGCTGGCCTGGAACTCACAGATATCTACCTGCCTCTGCCTCCCGAGTTCAGGGATTAAAGTGCGCCACGAAGCCTGTTTTTTTTTTTTTTTTTTTTTTTTTGTTTGTTTGTTTGTTAAGTACTTCATCAACTGACCCATCTCCCTAGTTCCCTCTCTGAGTTTTGAAAGAATTAGATTTAGCCAGAAAGAGGACCAAGAATTTCAGTTTTTTGGAGAGACACTCGGAGTAGCAGCTTTGTTGTCCTTTAAAAAAACAATCTGTTCCCCAGGTTGACCTTAAATTATTTAATGATCTCAAGTGATTCCTTCCTTCTGTCTTGTCTTCCACATATTTGAAACTATAGACTTGTGCCAACAGGCCCAAATTGTTATTCTTTCCATTTTGTGTGTGTGTTGCAGGGAACACAGACCCTCCTGTAGCCCAGGCTGGCTTGGAGCTCAACATATAGACAAAGAAGACTTGAATTCCTGGGTGTGCCACTATACCATATTTGATGTGGTGCTGGGTCAGGCCCCTTTTCCTTGCTGAGGACATCAAACCCAGGGCTTTGTGCATGCCAGGTGCATACCAAATGAGCCACATACCCAGCCCCAGTTGTGATTTTTTTCAAGTAGCAACACATTAGCAGAGAAAATGAAATCTGATATCGATCAGATTGCTATTATGCCTTCATTAAACTGAAACCTGTTTTAAAATGGTAACAGGCTTAATCAGGACACTGTCTCCCTCTGCAGGTCAAGGCTGGTTCTGTGAAGCAGGAGCTGGAGAAGCAGGATGAGCTGAAGCGCTCCGCAATGCGGGCAGTGGCTGCCCTACTGACCAGCCCTGAGGTCCGGAAGAGCCCCAGCATGGTTGACTTCTCTGCCCAGATCCGCTCCAACCCAGAACTCACTGCCCTCTTCGAGAGCATCCAAAAAGACTCAGCCTCCAGCCCCAGCGTTGATTCTATGGAACTCAGCTAGCTGTCCAACAAAAGCTTCCTCTTCTACCCCATAGGCCTTCTTGGCCTCTGCTGTCCTTCCACTCAGCCTCAGTGCCTTTGCTAGGGCCCCTACTCAGCCCCAGTGCCCGAGCTGGGCCCTTTAACTCAGGACAGTCCTTTACAGTTGGGTAATGCTCCACCAACCTTACATCGCACCCCTTCCGTGTTTAGAACCCAGCACTGGTCTGTCCGAGACCAGAACCCAAGCAGGGGGTTGGCTCCCTGCTTCATTTGCTTTGGACTCCAAATGTCAGACATTAGCACCCTGGCCATGGCTGGGGCTGTGTAGAGCCTGTGCAAGCTCTGGGCCTAGGCCCAAGAGAACCAGTTTATACTTCCTGAAACTCAAATGCCTCATTTTTAATTAGCAGAGTAGGAATTGTTTACAGGGAAGATGGTGTGTGTGTCATTGGGCAGGCTCAGGCTGCTATTTGAAAACATCTCTAACCTCACCACCCAGGTGTTAACGTCTGTATTCTTCCCGAGGTGTGTAGTTTGTACTGAAAATGACAGGCCAGGTTTTTTTGTTGTAAAGGAGAGCACCACCACCGCCAGTTTTGTGATCTGAGTTAATAAAGAACAGACATGAAGCTCTGCTCGTGGTTCTCCTCTCCAGTAGCTAGTTTCAGTGCAGGTCCCAGGTTCGGTCCTGACAGTGTCAGGCCGATGGCAGAGACCTGTTGTCCCAGCTGCCTAGGAGGCCAAGACAAGATTTAAGGTCACAATAACTTATAGACTTTATGTAAAAGCAACAGGGCAGAAGATGGCTCATTGACTCAGGCTGCTCTTCCACAGGATCCAGGTTCAATTCCCAGCACTCCGGGCAGCAATAGACATCCCTATTCCAAGGGGTCAGACACATGCAGGCAAAAGCAGAGAAGTGGTGGAGCCCTTGCCCACCATGCACAGCACACCCCCCCCCCCCCCCCCCCCGCATCAGGAGGAAGTGTCCTTAGACAGTTCATGCCACACTGGGCTGCACGCATACTAGGCCTTCACTCGAGCCATGTTCCCAGCCCTAACTGGGTTTTGACCAAAGCAGGCAGCCTGGAATACATTTTTCATCTACAGGATCTAAGACCAGCCTCCTCATTTCTACATTAAGGCAACATCTACCACCTGCTATACCCTTCTGAACTTTGTCTCAAAACAGTGGAGGACTAGACAGAGACCAGCCTGTGCTTAACTGGTGACTCTAGTGTATGTTTGAAAAAGTAGCACTGCCCCCGTAGCATCTCATGTGGCAGAAATACACCTGCCAGTTTCAGTAAGTTCTCAATCCTCCAAAGACAGTCACATGACAGGATCAGATCGGAGGCTAGTCTGTCCCCCAGATGCACCTAATGCTGCAGAGGGCCAAGCCCTTTCCCCTCTTCCAACCACCTGCAGGCAACCAAGGCTAGTGTGAGATTCTGAGCCTGGCTCCCTCTAACCTCCCAGGTGAAGGGCCCACTGGGGACTAAGACACAAAGAGCCATCTCCAGTTTCCAAAAAGGCAGAAATAGAGATGGCAGTTTTTGTGGTTTTATTTTAAACACAAATAAAACACGGACACAAGCCATCTACTCATTCTCTTCACTGCGCAGCCTGGCGTTGGGATTGGTCACTCTGATGGCCAGCTGTGCTGCTCTTTCCACGATGGCTTTCCGGTTCTTGGAGGACACATTGTGAGCAATCTCAGCACAGTAAGACCTGAAGAAGAAGCAAAAAAAGGTCACCAGCGAGGTAGTGACTCCTGACCTCCACTCCACTGCCAGTCAGAAGTTCCTGGCAAAAAGCTAAAATGCTGCAGATCCAGTCACCAAGGCTCCCGCAGTGGGCTACAGTGACAAGGCATTAACTAGTCTACAGGGGGAGCTCGCCACACCGGACTCAGGTTCTCCTCACACCACAATTCTCACACAGGAGCCCAAAGGCATCCAGGGCAAATACTGAGCTACCCACCTCAACTAGTGAACACTGCATACACCACCCCAGAGTGTTGACCAACGGTCCTAACGAACACACTCCCGGTGTGGAGATGACCATGAAGCCAGACAGGCGGCTGATGAAAAGCCATTAGTAAAGCAAGACTGAAGAGTGATGTGACCAGTAGCTTTCCCCAAATAAAAAGGAGTCGGACAGCAAACACTGAATCCTGACAGACTCTCATACAGTTATCTGGGAATGGCTCACAACACACTTTTGACCCGGAACTCCATGTCCCTGGCCACCTGCATCTGTAGCAGTAACTGGCACAGCTACTACTCAGTCATGTACAGCCATACCTCACCCCAGGACTCTACCACCCAGGAAACATTTTCAGTGGTCTGTCTGTAACCTTTCCTCTTGCCCTGCTTCTCGGTTACACAGGGGGGAAATAACCAGAACTCGGCGAGCAATGCCAAGCAGCCTGAGAAGCCTACGTACCCATTAGAAATGTAGACCCAACCAACACTGCACTATTAATAAAGACAACATTGCCAAGCTGGAGAGATGCTCAGAGGTTCAGAGAGCACTGCCTGCTCCTCCAGAAGTCCCAACACCCACATGGTGGCTCACAACCATCTATAATGAGATTTGGTGCCCTCTTCTGAGGTTACACGCAGACAGAACACTGTATACATAATAAACAAATCTTAAAAAGAAAACAGCCACAGGACCGCACTGTCCCTGCACATTCAGCCACCAGCCTGCACCACCCCTCCAAAAGAAACTTCCCGCACTTCAATCAATGCTTGATTAAATGCACAACGTAACTCCCCATGCTGACCCTCTCTACCGGCATTATAACCACCTCAGAAAACAAATCCTTCTAAACCAGATCACACACAACCTTCATTCTCTGCAGTCCTAATTTATGCAGGGGTGGAGGGAATGCAGTTTCCAACCCACTTACCAGGAAGGAAAAAGAAACTGTTCCTACCACATCCTCATACCCAGTGTCAATGGCATGTCCTGGAAGGCCTCGGCTTGATGGAGCTGACTGTGCACCTCAGAGGTCACCAGGGCTGTAACTTGCTCAGAACACCCCACAACCTTCTCAACAGCTGTGCCTACAGCCTGCCCCAGCTCCTACATACCTGCAGTGCTCTGAAAAATCCAGTCCCTAACCAGCATTCTCTAAGCTCAGTAAGCCTGCCCCAGAGTCTCAGAAGGCAGGCCACTCCTAAGCAGGCCAGAGCCGGGACCAACTCACTTGTTGCACATCAGCAGCACTTCCAGCTCTTTGACATTGTGGACCAGAAACTTCCGGAAGCCGCTGGGCAGCATGTGCTTAGTTTTCTTGTTGCTCCCATAACCAATGTTGGGCATCAGGATCTGGCCCTTGAATCTTCTCCGAACCCTGTTGTCGATACCTCTGGGTTTCCGCCAGTTTCGCTAAAGACACAGAAGCCAAGTCAGTTTCCGTGCAAACTGCTAGCTTTCCCTCAGCAGGAAGAGGGCTAAATTCAAAGAGGGCAATATAACTTCCTACCTCTTCATACACTTTTAATAGGAAAAAAAAAAAAAATCTCCTGAGGCTGTGACTGAAAACCTTCCTACCAGACCACAAATTCAGACCCACACGGGTCGGGATAAGAGGGGACTGCACATCTTTCTTAAGACCCAAGTTTTCTGCCCCATAAAATGCACACAGCAAAGGCTGAGGCTGTAGCTCAGTTCGACAGAACGTTTGCCTGGCAAAGATGACGCCTGGGTTCCACCCCTAGTAGTTGGATCACCTTCCATTTGTAATTAGGTTTCAAAAGAGGTCAGGGAGGAGGGCTCAGGTGCTGGCTGTGCTTGCCTGCCCAGCCAACTGGTGAGCTCTGGACCCAGTGAGGTCTTGCCTCAAAAAAAAAAAAAAAAAAAAAAGGCACTCGAAATAGTGGTGGTGCTCGCCTTTAATCCCAGCACTCATGAGGCAGCCCTGTGAGTTTGAGGCCTGCCTGCTCTACAGAGTTCCAAAACAGCTAAGGCTACAAAGAAAAACCCTGTTTCGAAAAAACACATATACATGACAACACCCATATATGAAAAATAAGGTCAGGCTGCAGAAATGGCTCAGGGTAAGTGCCTGTTGCCAGATAACCTAAGTCTGATCACCTGGAACCACATGATGTGGAAGAAGAATCAACTCCTTACAGTCCCGAGCGGTACACTTATGAATATCAAATAGTCCAAGTGTCACCTTAAAACCCATAAACGTGCGCTTTGACCTTAACCCCAGCACAGAACCACACACATACCTTAATTTTTACATATCGGTCTGACTGGTGCCTGATGAACTTCTTGGTCCTCTTTTTGACGATCTTGGGCTTCACCAGAGGCCGGAGGGCAGCCATGTTGCCTATTTATAAAGTCGGATACACGTTATCCAAGAACCTGGGAGGGGAGGCTGGTTGTCTAAGGCCAGAGTTATGTTGCAGAGTGTCTTCCAATCACCAGCTACTGAGCAAACTGGGAATGGAATGGGTACCTCTGCTAGGCTTGTTCTCCCTCCTGCTTCCGAAGCTGGCAGAATACTAGCCACTCTCCAGGCGCGATCTCAAGAGGTCAGGGGTCACCTCACCTACTCAGAACCTCACTCGAAGTACGGCAGCAGCTGACCTATAACCCAAATCAGGACCTTCTTAGTGGGCTAGGGGCAGCAAATCCCACTCCACCAAGCTGCCCAACCAAGCGATCACTAAGTTAGAAGTGTTGCCGCCGCAAACACGCAGAAGCCCGTACTTCTAACACGACCCCAGACAGCGCGTCCCTCCCGGATCGCCTCAGCACCATCGACAGGTACCTTCTCTGCTCCCTCCATAAAGAACGTGCTTTGCCGAGCATACACTAAGTACCGAACGAGCACACGTTCTGCAAGCATCTTTTGCTCTCTGGCACCTCGAAGGCAGGAGAGCGGGGGCAGTTTCCTCACCCAAGATGTCCTACCCGCCACCAAGAACTGCTGCTAACAAGAGGACATGAAAGTGGCCTGCCCCGTCCCAAGCCGACAGGCTCCATGGCAGCAAAACGGCCCTGGCCGACGCCTGGCCCCGGGCGAACTCCGTGGCATCGCTAACAGCCCGTAGGCCCGGCCCGTGCGCGCTCGCCGCTACGGCGCCAGCGCGGAGACCGACGTCGAGGCGTCTCCACCGGGCTATACCAAGGTCTCCCCACCCGGCGACTGGGCCGCGCAGAGCCCGCAGGCGGGCGGATGACCAGCGATGCAGACTCACCTCAAAACAGATGGCAGCCACCTCGTAGGTAGCGCCGAGGAAGAAGGAAGGGGCGGCAACGCGCAAGGGATGATGGGACGTAGCCTCAGGTCCTGGTAGGGAAAAGGGAAGCACTTCCGGCTCTAGGTCTTCCAAAGAAAACGAAGACGTGCCAAAGAAATGCTGAAAAAAAAAAATCCCACTGTACTAGTATTCTATAATAGACATTAACATCTTGGAATGATCTAAAATGTATCTTTTTCTTGGGACTACTTAGGAAATTTGGTATTCTTTCTGAGACGAGACCTGCTAGGTGGGCACCTACTTCCGCCCGAATTGGTTTTTTTTTTTTTTTTAAATAGCTTCGATCCCGAGTGCGCCTCCTTGTGGTTAGGAGGTGGCAAGACAGAGGGTTGGGTTTTTTGTTTTTGTTTTTGTTTTTTTAAGACGAGGTTTCTCTGTGTAGCCTTAGCTGTTTTCTACTCGCTTGTAAACTCGCTCGTACTCACAGAGCTCCGCCTGCCTCTGCCTCCCGGAGTGCTGGGATGACAGGCGTGCGCCATTTAAAAGGTTGGTTGAGCAAATATCCTAAAACACCAGAATTTACAGAAGTTCAAGCCCCTGGAGTAAGAAGTGTTACGGAGCCTGCCCTTATTTTACACTTGTTCAGATCATCAGCACTTATATATAGTATGTACCTAGAGCAATGTATTGATAAGTGCAAGGTTGTTAATATTGCTTAGGAAATAATGACAAGGAAAAAAAGTCCGCTGGCCTGGTATGGTGGTGCACGCCTTTCAATCCTAGCACTTGGGACGCAGAGGTAGGGTGCAAGGTCATAGTTTTCCAGGCCCACTAGATGTGTCTCCCCATCCAACCCCGCCCCCCCACAAAGTCTACATAATACAGATGCAGTTTTATTTCGAATATTTTCATATTTGTGTTTGTTTGAATTTGAATGCACCCTATGGAACAAAGGCTATAGAGGGCCAATTTTACATATAAAATAAGGCTATACTAGCCAACTCTCCACTGACACTGTATGTCCTTGTCACAATTGTTTAAGGTGATTCTTTTCTTTCTTTTCATTTGCTATGGATGGGAAATGAACTTGGGAGATGTGGTTCCACACTTTCAATCATTCAGCTGCCTAGCTTTAAATTTTTTTTATTGGTCTGTTTTGTTTAGCTTTTGTTGTTCAGATCATTGTGAAAAATCTAATTTTAGAAGGAAATAAAACCAAACCAGGGCTGGGTAGATAGATGGCTTGTTGGTTCAGAGCACTGGTGTACTTGGCAGAGGACCTGGATTTAGTTCCCAGCACCTACATGATGCCTCATAACCTTCTAATTTCAGTCCTAGGGGATCCAATGCACTACATTCATGTGGTACATATCATATAGGCAAAACATTCAAGCGTACAGAAGAAATATTTTTTGTTTTTGTTTTTGTTTTTTGAGACAGGGTTTCTGTGTGTAGTCCTACAAAACTCATTCCTTAGACCAGGCTGGCCTCAAACTCTGGGATGTGCCTGTCTCTGCCTCCTAGAATTAAAGGTGAGTGCCTCTACCACCCAGCAGAATTGTAAAAACAATTTTAAACAACCTTGATTCTACAACCCAAACACAACGGATGTCAGGGGTGATTTTGAAAGTGGCTCCAGGAGATGGGGACAGATGCTAAATCCGGTATGTTCCTCCAACAGGAAGTGAGCTGGGATGACAGCAGGAATGTTGGCAACTACCTTGAGGTGCTAGCTGGAAGAGGAGAGTGGAGGCCCCAAGAAGTACTTCCATCGCCCAAGGTGGCTGGCTGGCAAGCAGCAGGGTGGGACTAGAGCTTTCCTGTGTCTGTGGCTTGTTCACCCTTCCCCAAGGGCTGCTTATCCTCCCGGCTACATGAAGTCCAGTGGCGTGTGAAGCATGGGAGTGTGGAACTAATGGCAGCTTACAGACCACATTTCACAAAGGGAAAGTTAAGTAGGTGAATCACGGGGGGGGAGGGGGCCCATGAGCTAGAGAGCATGGCTCTGATTTCTGAAGACCCACAGGGATTGGGGACCTCCATCTAATGGGGATGTAGCAGAAGTTTTGGTTTCTTTAAAAGCTCAGTTATGTTATGTAAACATGTTTTTGTTTTAAACCCAAATGTGGGGTTTTAATTTGTCCACGGCTGATAATTGCCTCGTGCAAAGGCAGGGTCTTTGTCAGCTGGAGTTAGTTAGAGGACTCTGAGCAGTATAAATGTGAGAGTCCAGTGGGAGAATGTATGGCGGCTTGGAGGAGACAGCCCGAGAGAACTGTTCAATGATTCTTTGAACAAGAATGCTGGCTGCATTTGCTGGTTTGCTGGTTACCTGGACTGGTGGATATGCTGATGACTGAGATTGGTATTACCCCCAAAAGAACCTGATGACCCTACCCAGCCAGAAGTAAAGAGGTCTTTGTCCCCTCTCTCTTCTAACCCTCTTTCTTACCCAGGGTTGAGGGTTGGAAGGGAGGTAGAAGCTTAAGAAATCCTAAAGAAAATAGTTTTGAAAACTAGTGCCTACATGGGGATATGAGAACACGCTGCTGCCTCATTTTGCAAAGGACACTCTTACTGCCTGTTGCATCCCGGTGGGCACTAATGTCCCGGGAGGTGGGAGGTGTCCTGGGGAACCCTGTCTCTCACACATACTCAACACCTTCAAGTTTTCCAGCGCTTAAACAGGAAATCGCATCAGGTAGGCTACAGGTCCGCTCTAAACTGGTTTATTTTAAAAGGGCAGAGGTCATGACAGGGTAGAAAACACACCATGGGTGGGTCTGGACACATCCATACTCCCAGGCACGAGAGACTGTGGCATCAGGGGACACAGCCCCAGACCTTCCCTGGGAATGCTTTTGTATGGCTCTTTGACATCTCATGTCTGCAGTTGCGGGCCCCTGGTCCAGCACACCGCAGGCCACTCTAGTTAAGGAAGTACACCTTGTGTGCATCGTGGTAGGCATAGGTAACATAAGAATTGTCTCTCATGGGCCACCAGTCCCTAGGCTGGTAACTGGCAGGGTAAGCATGGCCATGGTACCCGTGTTCTACAAAGTTGAAGATTGCAAGACTCTTGTCCTTGGCCACAGAGGGCAGGTAGAGCCGCAGCTTGTCCAGAAGGTGACCTGGCCAGAAGTTATTGGGGTGGGGGCCGGACAGACTGCTGCGCCCCTTCTCCTCCAGGTTCCTGGAAAAGGAAAAGACACAGGGAAGGTTGCCTTTGCAGAGAGACCAGGCCCAGGGCTCCTTCTCGGCAGAGAACTTGAGCCGCGACCACACTCTGCTGTGTGGACAGCATTACACACCTGGTGAGGACGGCGAGGACCCAGAGGTCTAGAGATCAAGGTCCCACAATGATGAGATACTATGCAGGCCTCAGGAACTGCTTCTTAAACCCACACTTAGACATGTGCTGTCCTTGTTCAGGAGCAGTCATTCTCAACCTTCCCAATGCTGTGACCCTTTAATACAGTTCTTCATGTTGTGGTGATCCCAACCATAAAATTTCACTGCTACTGCATAACTGTAATTTTGCTACTGTTATGAATTGTGACGTGAACAGTTGTATTTTCCAATGGGCTTAGGCAACCCCTGTGAAAGTCACTTGACACCCGCCCCCAAAAGGGTCACAGGTTGAGCAACTGTTGCTTTAAAGGGCTTGCTTCTCCCCACCCCCCGACTTCAGCCAGTCTTTTTGGTGCTGGGGATAGAACCCAGGACCTCACAATGCTTTAGGTTAGTGCCCAGCTGCTAAGCTACACCCCGGCCCCATCTGAAAGTATTTGGATATCATGTCTGGAATCTAGCATCTGTAGCCAGCCTCACTGGGTTCAGCTTCAGATGTGAGACTATGTCAGTGTCCTCTCCTATAAGTGGTATGTCTGGAGCAACTCGGGCTTTTGGTGACAATGTAGATGAGTTCACTCATGGGGCCCCCCAGAGCAACTGTGCCTGGCACTCCCTGAGCACTCTTCTGCTGTCCCTTAGGCCTTGGTCATAGAGCCCCACCACAGTGCTAGGATCTTGTCCAGTGTGCACAGGCCCCAGAGCTGGGGGGAGGAGAGGCCAGCCCTCCCATCCTCATCCTCTGCCCTCCCTGCAGACACACAGAACCACTACAAACCAAGTAAATTCCTGGAATTCCTGAAAGTTCATTTTCTTGAGTTTCTCTGTTGTTTTCCTAGCAGGGGACAGAGAAAGACAGTGTTAGGAGAAAGAAACTTCCAGGAGCCAGAGCCCTTAGGAGGCAGAAGCACACCTATCTCTGAATTTGAGGCCAGCCTGGTCTACAGAGCGATTTCCAGAAAAGCCAGGGCTACGCAGAGAAACTGTCTCAAAACAACCCCCTTTCCAAAACTTCAGGAAAAGTGGGTTTTGGGGTACGGGCCATTAAGGGATCCATTTCTTAGTGTCAGACCAGAGCTCTGGACATTGTTCCTTTGTGGTGAGGCCCTAGCTGTGTCTCCATACACCAAGGCACAACCTATGCCCTGGGCTTAGCTGGACTGGGCCTTATCTCCTGACTTGACTCCCAGTCCTCTTGCCAGAGGCCACGCTCTGTGGGAGAAGCACGATAGAGACTCACTTTCCATACTCTGCCCCAGCAGACATCATTACCAGATCACTGGATTCCTTCCCAAGCCCACATATGACCTCAGAATTTCTTTTTTTTTTTTTTTTTTTTCTTCTGATACAAATGATTCTCTGGGCCTTGTGCACTCGCTACACCTTGTGCCTGGCTTTGGGATCTTTAACAACTTAGTTCCTAGAGGTAACAGATATCCAATGTCTCTCCTTTAGCTAGGAGACCTTTCTCTTTTATAGCTGTGGTTTGTCAAACACAAGGAAAAATCTCTTTCCTGGGCGGCTGAAACATTCAGGGTCCAGTCCCAATCTCTCTGGGCAGGTTTCTAGCAGTGGACCCTACAGCTACAGTAGCCACCGTGTGCTCATTCACCAGTGTATAGCTTCTGTTATGTGTTCTCCACAGGCTTATGTGTTTGATAGCTTGGTCCTCAAACCCACTTTCCGGATTCAAGACCGAGGAATTGGTGCCAGCCACAGGTTAAAGGCCTATCTCACAGGTCCACCAAGCTGCTACTGAGCTTGGGTCACGTTCAGCACTGCTGTGGGTCTTAGACCGGCCCTGTACTTAAAAACATTAGGACAAGTGCTGGACAAAGCAACAGCCACACTGGCAGCGCTGAGGATGGGGGCTTGTCCAGCCCTCCCTGTGTGTAACAGGAGTGCTGCACCCACTTTACAAATGAAGGTGCTGAGGCTCAGAGCGCAGCAGCTTGACTGCTGAGAGGAAGCTTGTCTGCACTCACGGAGCTGCACTGCCGCCTGCCCAGGCATTTTTCCCCTCCACCCCAACCCTCTTTCAGGGATTAGCCATCTCCTTCTCTCCTGGCAGTCGCTACGGACGTTATCCACGGTAGTTGGGTGCTTGGTCCACATCTGGTGGGACTGGAGGGGGAATTAACCTTCAAAGGAGGTTTGTCTAAGGGTTGGGGTGACATTTTGTTTCCCCGGAGGCTACCAGCCTGCCTCTTAGTGGAGAATGAGTGTGCCTGCCACATGGTGGCAGCACAGGAAAGGGAACTGGTCCCTCAGCTCCTGACAGGGTAAAATAACACCCGCTCTGGATCTTCTCCACTGGCCTTATGATTATGTAAGCCTGTGACCAGGGGGGCCTTATGATTATGTAAGCCTGTGACTAAGGGGGGGGCTAAGGGATTGGGCCAATCAGAAGTGACCAGGAAGGGACACAGATACTGCTGAAACATCCCAGCCCCTGCAGCTAAAGGGACAGCCCGAAACTCAGCTTGTCTGTCTTCCTTTCCCCAAGGTTCTGGTGGCAGCGGTCCCCAAACTCAGCCATACTGCAACCAAGCCTCTGGTCTATGTAATAGCCTCCAGGTTGCCGGATCGGGCGGACTTCGTGTTTCATAGTAATTAACTTGTCTCCTGGATACAGTAGTGCTGTGGGCAACAAGGAAGACAGCAGAGTCTATTGAGCAAATTTTAGGGTCGCATGGGAACTATTTAAACAAATTCACATTTCTGTTTAAAAGATTCATTTTTTTCTGAGCTAGCAAGACGGCTTGGCAGGTAGAGTGGCCAAGTGCATATGTGGGGGCTAGAATACAACTTTGTGGAGTCTGTTCTCTCTATATTTATGTGGACTCTGAGTATTGAACTTAGGTCATCAGGCTTGATGGCAAGTGCCTTCACCCACTGAACCATCTCACTGGCTCCCAACTCTGTAAAATCACATTTATTTATTCATTCGCTTATTTACTCTCTTTATTTCTTGTCTCTATGTATGTGTATGTATCAGAGAGACACAGCGAGAGAGAGAGAGAGAGAGAGAGAGAGAGAGAGCACACTGCCACACACATGTAGAGGTCAGAGGACAACTTGTAGGAGCTGGTTTTTAGTTTCTACTACATGAGTCCCAGGGACTGAACTTGGTCATTAGGCTGGCAGGAAAGGCCTCAGCCTGCTGAGCCATCTTGCCAACCCAGTTTCTTATTTTCAGATGACTGTAGGTTCGCTGGAAATTGCAAAACACAATAGGGTGTAGAATTTCCCTAAACTCTCCCACAGCTCTTCATAACGCAGGGCATACAGCTGCAGTTCAGTATCAGAAGGCACCTTGGATGATCCTGCTCATCAGGGGACCAAGGAGAGACACCAATTTGTAACAGCGAATTAGAATGAAGCTACTTAGCAAGCTTAGTTTGGAAGCAGGAAGATTCAACCAGACTTCACTAGGTTAATTAGTGTGTACATGTGTGTGCTTGCATGAGTGTGTGTGTGTGTGTGTGTGTGTGTGTGTGTGTGTGTGTGCGCCAAGTATGGAGTCAAGACCTCATACTTGATAAATCAAGAAGTCTAACACTGAGCTCCACTCCCAGCCCTACTACAAAATATTTACTAATTTGGTAACTATTTTGATGGTGATTTCTCATGGTTTTGAACTTGTCTGATAGGAGTGTTCGTACGTGTGTGTGTTCTTTCTGGTAGATGTGTGTGGGTAGGTGGGTGAGGTGTGTGGAGGCAGTGATCTAGAACCCAGATTCCCCATGTGTCCAGAGCCTGTGTCCTAGGAATCCCACCTGGCGGTCAGGCAGGCTGCTTTTCCTTTCCTCCCCGGCGTTCCCACCAAAGGCCTCGGTGGCTTGGCTGGCTGCATGTATAGGGAAGCCAGGCCAATTCCACGTTAGCCATTGCTCAGGCCCCAGGCTTCCCCTTGAAGCAAGCCCCTACCTCTCATGAGGATGTCCTCAGTCAGCGGGAGCTTGTAGGCCTTGCAGACTTCCCAGCACTTCAGGTAGATCAGGAAGTCATTCCTGCGGTTCACATTAATCAGCTCCTCCATCTCCCCAGAAAGGGTGGATGGCAGGCAGTGCTCATCAAAGGCTTTTACCCCAGATCGAACCAGCCGGCAGCGCTCCATGTATTGGATGGAGGGAAGACAGAGCTGTGGGGAGAACAGAGGAGGCTCCATCTTGTGTCTTTGTGACATTCACCCTGGCTGGAAGGCAGCATAGCACTTCCTCCACTTCCCTCAGAGAGGCCCTTACGAAGAAAACCACCTGAACAGGAGGTTGCATTTCAGGTTCCAAAGCTAGCAGCTTGGAGGACCAAGCATTGAGGTCAAAGTTATCCCTCACGGGCTCTGGGGACTTGATACATGAGTCCTGGGGCCACAGCCTCATGCTGGGTGTGCCCGTGTGCTCTGTGGTACCTATAAGAGGGCACAGCAGCAGTAAGTGCTTCAGAGGTAGGCGTCCTGTTGAAAAATGAGTCTTTGGCTACCGGGGACTCTGAATCGGGTAGAGCTGTTTGTAGGTAATCCTGAGTAGACGCCATGTCGCCAGTGCAGAGGCACCGAGAAGTGTCACCCACTGTCACTGGCTGTTGAGGTTTTTTTATTTGTTGCTGTTTGGTTTTGTTTTTGTTTCTTTGAGACATACATCGTGTACTTCTAGTGTCCTAGAACTGACTGTGTCGATCAGGCTGGCCTCACAGAGATCTACCTGTCTCTGCCCTCTCAAGTCTTAGGATTAAAGGTATGTATCTCATTTGGGTTTTTCTTTCAGTGCAGCCCAGGCTAGTCTCAAACATATAATCCTTTTGACAGGATCTCCTGAGTGCTGGCGTTACAGGGCTATTTCACCACACCAAGCTGTTTACTGTGGAGATGACAGTCAAGGGCTGAGGGAAGTAAGACCTTTCGGAGCACTCCAGCAATCAGGTGTCAGTGCAAGAGTCCTGAACCTGGCCTGCCCAGCCCCCACGCCTGTGCCAGACAGATACCTTGTTCTTCCTTCGCCTCTCACGGTAACGCCTGCCCACATCCTCCATGTCCTCCTCTGTCATAGGCCGCCCCTCCATCTTTGTATCAACCTCAGGCACCTTCAGCAGGTCCATCTTGGGAGTCTGCGGGTATGAGACATCCTGCTTGTCTGAGATGTGCTTCACGGAAGTTTTCTTTATATATAACCTGTAATCTAGAGTTGGAGGGAAAGATGAAGGAGGGACTAAGAGGGTACCCAGCTGTGGAATGCAACATGATGTCACTGAGCAGATGCCAACATGCTCTTTTGACCCTTTCCCAAATGTCCAGCCAGTGTCCATCTGGGGGGCACTGTGAATTTATCCCCTACATTGCTATCAAGCCCCATTTCTGCATACCCTACACCCTTTTCCTGTGCCTCTCACATCCTCTGTCACCCTGTTCCCACCAAGTGACAAACAGAACCCTTATAAAATGGCAGCTGGGCATGGTGGTGCACACCTTTAATCCCAGCACTCAGGAGGCAGAGGTAGGCAGATCTCTGTGAGTTCAAGGCCAGCCTGGTCTACAGAGTGAGTTCTAGGACATCCAGGACTGTTACACAGAGAAACCCTGTCTCAACAAACAAACAAAACATAAACAAGATCAACTTGTGCCCCTGGCTTCCCAGGGAACACAAACTAAAAACAGACTTGCTGGACCACAAGGACCTGTGGAAATCTGCCTCACCTATGCCATCCTGTAACTCAAGAGTCTTTCCTGCCCAAGGCCCTTGACCTTGGCAGTTCCACCTGCCTTGGATGCTCTTCCCAGCACCAGTCACGAAGGGGTCAGCCCAACACTTAGAGCTTAGGGGCTTTGTCTGACTACCATCCTGACACTCCTGCTAGGTGACGCCAAGGCAACTGTCTCGGTGGACAGCATCTTACCATGAGTAAGCTGCTGGAAGCAGGGCTTGCTTGTTCACTGCACTCTCCCAGTTCCTACAAGCAGCCCTAGCATTTTGATGATAACTGCCAAAATGGGGACCAAGGAAAGGATTCCAACACCTTGCCAAGGTCCTGGTGGTGGCCTCATGCTAAGGTGAAATCTTGGCCTCACCTCCTCCTGAGACTCCAGACAAGCAGCTCGGCCTCTCTGGATATTTGCTTTCTCCGTGGAAAACAGGAATAGCAACTCTAACCTCCAGGCAGGCAGGGAAAACTGAGTTGCGCAAATGCTGCCAACCCCACTTGGTGCCCAAGAAATGCAATCACCTCCTTTCCTCTGAGTCCAGAGGCCTAGAAGCTTGCTCTTTTAGACAAATTGAGACTCCTCCACGTCCGTCTTACCCACTGCCACCCTCTAGGGTGGCATTTGACCATACTGAGATAGTAACCAATCAATAGATAACTGCTGCCTTCAAATCAAGATAAAGGGGGATTTTTTTTTTTTAAGTAGTGTGTGTGTGTTACAGTCCTCGACTATAGCTATTATTGTTGAGCACTATGCTCTAGTGACTCCAGCCAGCTATGAGATCACAGCTGCTCTGGGCATTCATAAGATCCTGGGAGGAGCAGAGCAGAGGAGTGAAAGCCAGGAGGTGCTGACCCTGGGCCATAGAAGCTGTGAGGGTGCTTGGGTTTCCTTTGGGTCGGGGACTCGCATGGAGTAGGGGCGGGAGCTGGTGTATCTGCAGGACTGCCTCAGAAGGGAAGTCTGGGATCTAGAACTGGGAAATGCACACTGTGCAGGGGCTGCCTAAGGCACCACGCCAGGGAAAACACTGCCCTTGGCGTAGGCATTCACTCTGATTCTAGAAACCCGGCTTCAGTTTGGCACCCCTGCAAGAAAACCTCTCCAACTGCTTCCTGATGGCTTTTATTTATCTCAAAGGGGACAGAGCCCCACCCCTCCCTAAAAGTGTGTCTGAGGTTAATTTCCTGCCAGCCTGGTGGATAGGGACAAAGCAAGACCCATTCCACTTAAAAAAATGATGGTGTTGCTCTATTTGAAAGGGAGCTGGGATGGTGAGTATTGCAGCTGCTTGTTTTTATTCCCCACAACAATAATATATGTATTATATATATTATATTACATATATATATTATACACACACACAAACATACATAAAGATAGAGGGGCTGAGGGGTGTAGCTCAGTTGTTAGAATGCTTGCCTACACACAAAGCCCTGAGTTCAGCACCACACATAAACTAGGCATGGTAGCATATACTTATAATCGCAGCACTTGGGAGACAGAGGAAGGCAGACCTCTGTGAGTTTGAGGCTGGGCCTGTTCTACATTGTGAGTTCCAGAACAGTCAGAGCTATGTAGAGAAGCCTTGTCTCAAAACAGTCAATCAAAAATACAGGCTTGTGCTGTAAATTCATAGCCCACACATTAGAGAGTCCTTTCTAGTTTATGTCTTCTTGGTGTGTCTGGACAGATGTGGCCCCCACAAACAAGCACATGAGGGCAAATATAACATGCATAACCTACACAGCTGTTCACAGCGTCCCTGTGAACAGGGTCATCCAAGATGACCAAAAGCTCAAGGCAGCTAACTCCAAATATGTTCATTCAGTTTCTTAGCAATCTATTTTAGTTAACCTTTCCTTGGTTTAATTTTATTTGAGATAAAGTCTCCTGTATCCCACACTGACCTCAAACTCTCTACAGTCAAGGATGCTCCACCCCCATAAGGAGTGCTAGAATCGTACGACAACATGAATCAGTGCGACACCATGCCCGTTTCATGCAGTGCTGGGATAAAATCCAGGGCTTCGAACATGCTAAGACAAGCACTCTGCCACCCCTCTATTCCCAGCTCTCGGCTGTTTTACATTAATAGTTTATGTCCCTCTGAGGACAGATGCTGGACTTCATCTTTGAATAGACAAAAGGGCAGCTGGGCCCTTGAGAAAGTATCTGTTTCCTCATTGACCTTTGTGCCTGGGGACTTCAGAGCTTGGCAAACCTATAGCAAACCAGAGGAGGAGGAGGAGGGAGGAGGAGGAGGAGGAGGAGGAGGAGGAGGAGGAGGAGGAAGAGGAGGAGCCATTTGAGGATGGAAGTACTGGGGAGAGCCAGGCTGGCTCCAGGGCAGAGAGGGCACGCACACTCTCTGGCAATGGGCACGGTCTCTCTCTGCTGGGTCTGTGCCCATTGCTTGTAGGTGCTGAGGATGGCATCTGTGGTGATGGCATTCTGCTTCCCGAGAGTGCTGAGGTAGATGACTATGTCCTCCAGCTCCTGGTTCTTCAGAGGAACTCCAATCTGAGGAGGCACAAGACGTTACTGAGACCCACCTCACCCTTACCAGCAGGCTTGGCCAACCTGTTCGACTCTCCAGCTCCCTGCTGCCACAGGAGTACAGAGCCCTTGTTAGGCCCCTGAATGTACTCTGCGATTTATCTTGCCTTGCTTTTGCCCAAACGCTTCCCTCTTTCTGCCTGAAAAACTACTGTCCCTCCTTCGAAACCCAGGCCAGATAGGCCTCTATCTTTACACAGTTTTTTTCAGTTGATTAACATATTGGATAGGAAGAAAGTTATACATCTAGCCTTATCCACGAGGAACAGCTATGCCCTCTTCGACTGAAGTATCAGAAATCTATACACCTTTCCCCCCCCC